TAAAATCACCTTTACTTTTAGTTCACTTCAGTGGGTTTCTGTTATCTATGACTAAAAGATCCTTGACAAAGACAAGGCTATTCTGTTAGAGTATGTTCCCCTATATCTCCATTAGGTCTATATTAGAAATGAATGTGGGGCCAGCAGGTGGCATGGTGGCTAAGGTGGCTGAACTCCTACATGGCTGACCACCATTTGAGTCCCAGATTGGCAGCTTACTTTCTCACTTTCCTTCTCTCTGGTCAACCTCAAAAAGATAAATAAAATGATGACAATGAATGAAAAATGAAAATTCTGAAAAAAAAAGAAATGAATGGCATTCTACTGTCTATTTGTTAGTATTAATTATATATTATGGCCCAAGCATTTTTTTCAGATCGTAATTGCACAGAACTGATGACAGTGGCGTTTGGAGCTGGTATTAATACATGATGGAATCTAGATGGTCCTGCTAACTTCTCTAGAGGAGATAGTCTGTCCTTTCTGTAATGATGGAAATATTGTCTCTCATGTAGGTTTAATACAAAATGCAGTGCGTAAGTTCCAGGCAGTAGCCAGGTTGTGCAACACAAGGCCTGGGGGGGGCAGCTTATCTCCCAGACACAGGCAGAGAGCTCTGAGCCAGCTCTCCACAGAGTGGGCAACCCAGGAGGATCTGAGTGTTTCCTGCAGCTATCAAAAAGTACAGAAGGAGGTGTTCTGCTTCAACTTTCTATTTATTGTTGTTCTTACTCAGCAAGAGTTCTCTAGTTGTCTTCTGGGGAAACTGAAAAGTAGTACGAAGTCATCTATTTCCTCTTTAAGACTATACCTGCCCAGAGAACATGTATCATTTCTCCTGTGAATACAGGGAATTTCCTAGTATTTTATCTGCAGTTAGAACTCTGGATCATAGTCTAGGTCACATTTATAAACCTGCTGTCACCTCTAAAATGTTTATTTACACTTTAAATCAATTTGAAAATAACATTCTTTAACCATATAATTCATAATCTCAATCTGGATACCTTTAAGAGTAAAAAGGGGTAATATTAATAATAAAACTAGGACAATAGACCTTGGAACTGACCCAGGCAAACTGGATGCTATTGTCACCCTATCTTAGGCTTTGCATTCACAATTTCTGAGTAACTTACATATTGAGAACCTAAGGATTCTTGCCTTGGTTTTTGATCATATCACATTTTACCTGCCACTTTGGAAAGTCACTTGTGATTTCTGCACTAGTCACTAGCTATAAAAACTAGAGCTTCTCAGGACCAGCAGTTGGCATAATGGCTATGTTGCTGGACTCCCATGTAGTCGACCGCAGTTCGAGTCCCAGACCCGTAAGCTTAAACTCACTCCAGGTATGTGTGCATTCGTGTCCAAGATCCTGAGAGGAGAATGGAGAAGAAGGGACTGCAGTGTGGCCATCTCCCCCGGTGGAGGGGGGGGGGGCTGATTTTTCATTTTCTGGCTCACTGTCTCTTTCTGTCTTTCTGGCGAGCGCATGCGCCCTGTAGCAAAAAACCTCTCCAAAAAAAAAAGTTAAAAAAAAAAAAAAAAAAAAGCTGGAGCTTCTCTAGGGCTTCAGTTTCCTCACCTTTAAGATGAAGGAAGACGTAGTCTACAACGCTAAAGTTTTTCTCAGCACTCAACAATTTAAATCAGTGACACATACATCTAGGGATTTCAGTTTTGTAGAAATTTCGGTTATTTTGATTCAAGTACAGTATAAAATGGAGAATATAAGAGTCCACGAGAGAATATTACAAATGTGTTTTGCACACACATACTTTGTGTGAAAGTAATCTCAATGCAGTTAGAAAGCCACGTTGATATAGCATCAAGCACCCAAACTGGAATCTAGCCACTTATTTCTTCTGTAAATTTGCCCAAATTACTTAAGCATCCTGAATACCTGACCCTAAATGCCTTCAACTGTGAATGGGTGTGAGTACAGCTACTTTTTTGTAATACTATGAAGATTAGATGGCATATTATACATGAAAGTACAGTATTCCAGGTAAATACTTATATACAATTAATAAATGTTAGATGCTAGCTCTTCTTCCTATTAAAATGTTAGTGTAATTATTGAATATTTGTTGTAAATGTGCACTTCACTTTTTTTACTCTTATATTTTAGGTTTTAGTTTTTGCCATAGGACACATATGCTTGCTGGAGAGAGAGACAGAAGAAGAGAGAGAGAGGGAAGGTGAGATATCACACCACCATGCCACAATTCCTTTTCCTCCATTCTCTTCTTGGGATTTTGAGCATGTACACACATGCACCCGGCATGTTTTTTCAAGCCACCAGGTCTGAGATTCAAATCACTCAGTTGGCTATATGGGATCCAGATGTCTTACCCACTATTCCACTGGCTGGCCCAACACTGCACCTTCTTATAATTAAACGTTCAATATATTACCAATGAGCTTCTCTAATCCCATTGATATTTGCTATTAAAAGGAGAAGTTACATGGGATAAAAAGCACATTTGTAACTATATGCATTATCAAATATCTGGGCCCAAAGTCCTCTTTTACCTTCTAGATACATGACCTTGGAAAAGTTACTTAGGCTGCCAGCATCCCTGTTCTTTCACTTGAAAACAATGAATCAGATAATGTATGTGAAGCACAGGGCACAAGTCTAGTGTATATTTGATATTATTGCATTCTAGGCTACAAAAGTGCTTATAGGTGAAAATTTGGTGGATGAAAAAAGCAACTCCATGAACACTTCATCAGTATTGTGCTGTTTCTATTGAGCAGATCTCACTCCTGGTCATTGTTGAACCATCTTTTATGGACTGGCCATAATGATATGGGTCTTAAGAATTCTAACACCTTCAGATTTACAGTAGGGTTGCAACTTTCCAAATTCAGCACTCCTGATAGTGAAATCAAAAGCTTGGATCAGTGCAGTCTGCAGAGTGCAGCCAGCAGATGGTGTAGTAGTTACGTCTCTGGACTCTCACATGGTCGATTGAGGTTTGAGTCCTGGACCAGAGGCTTGAAAATCATGCTGGGAACATACATGTGCATGTCCAAGATCCCAGGAGGAGAATGGAGGGGAAGGTATTGCAGTGTGGCCTTCCCCCCTCAGGAGTGGGTGATTTCTCACTTTCTCTCTCACTGTTGCTGTCTCTCTCTCCAGCAAGTATGCAGCCATATGGCAAAAGCCTCTTTAAAAAAACAAAAAAGGTACTAAGTTGCTCTTAATAATTTATTAATAAAGAACAGTTTGGTTGGTAGTAAACCATTTTTCCTTAACCCTACCTTCCCTTCTTACAAGGCTATTTCGGGATAAGACCGTCCTACAATTTCTCTGTAAGTAATGCAGCATGGAGTATTAGTGACCACATTTGGAGAATTATGACTGATCTGAATGTGAACTGGCAGTGTGGATGGCAATCATTTATCTCATGTACATCAGAAACAGAATTCACAGGAAATTTCCTTTACCTGTATTATCTGAATTAATCTTAATTTTTTAACAAGAAATCATAACACAGACAAGCATCAAAAGTATCACTGCTTAGTAGAGATTTGAAATATTTAGGTTCCAAGTTATCCTTTCCTCAGAATCCTCACCTCTTTCAAGTTAGTCTACAGTTTAGCATCCAATTCTTTTTGACAAGAAGATTCTGGGTTTAGTATATTTGTTTTTAATAATATATTTTACTTTATTTTAATTTCTTTTATACACTCAACCTCTATACATCACTTAGCTTGTAAAGTGAATCTTCCAACATGAATACATTCCACTCCAGACCAGTTGGGGATACTATACATGTTATCGACAGATAATTTTTGGCCAGCTTCCACCCCTACACTTCATTGAATTGGCAGGTCCTTACAGACCCTGGCATCAGACTAGTTCCCCACCTCCCTGGTTCAGGTGGGACCTAAGGGAACTAGAAGAGTGTTTAAACTCCAGTCTACCTCCATTCCTCAGGCCCTGGATTTACGCTGGAGTCCTATGGCTCTGAGGACAGTCTCAACCTCAATTCTTACTTCTCACTATGAATTTGAATTTCTTCTTTGGTTTGGTATTCAGTGATTTCCCATCCTATCTTTCAATCTTATCTTTTATGTATTAGTTATATTTAGTTATGTAGTTATAGTTCATTTATTTTTATCAAATGTTTGTAAGTGTTTGAAATGGGACCAAGGGCCCTACTTCATTAGTTTACTCTCCAGATTATGGTATAAATGAGCATTTGACTTTTCCTGATCTTGAGAATGCCATGTCTGACATTTGTCATGAGGAAACCAGAGGTGATCTCAAAATTCTGAGTCCAACACACTATAGCAGATTATTTGGGAAAGAAAAATAAAACTGTTTTCTATCTTAATATTTAATATGTTGAATAAAAACCAGCAAATTTTGGGAACCAGCAGTTAGCGTAATGGCTATGTCGCTGGACTCCCACGTAGTCGACCGCAGTTCGTGTCCCGGACCCGGTGGCTTAAAACTCACACCGGGTGCGTGTGCGTGCGTGCCCAAGATCCCGAGAGGAGAATGGAGGAGAAGGGATTGCAGCATGGCCATCCCCCCTGGGGGGTGATTTCTCGCTTTCTGTCTCTATGTCTCTCTCTGTCTGTCTGGTGAGCGCACGTGCCCTACAGTGAAAATCTCTCCAAAAAAAAAAAACCAGCAAATTTTAAAACTTTGGAGAGAATCTGGGATTATCTGTTTTACTGGGAATAATCATAAAAGATCAGGTAGTATGTGTGAAATTCACTTTTGAGCAGGAAATGAGAGTCACTCAAGAAGTTCATCAACATCAACTCAACCCTCCAGGAACATAGGGCACACCTCAAGATGCAGAGGCATGTCATGCTTTGTGGTGACAGGGTTCCTGAGTTACCCTGTTCTTAATTCCTCAGGTTCTACAGTCTTTAAGCAAGATTTTTATCTGATACCCTAAAATACAGAACTCGGTACCTAAGCTGTGGCTTCTGACAAAATGTAAATTAGTACAAAGGCATTTACAAACACTCACATGCATGGAGGCTTTTCCCATTTCTGTTTTCCCATAAAGGTTTGGTTGGCTAGTTCTCTGAGGCTCGGTGACAGTGCTGAGCAGGTTGAGTAGGGCTGCGCTCTGACAGGGACTGATGAGGCCTGAAGAAGGAGAAATGTGCACAGACTCACAATATTCTTTTCTTTGGGGCATTTAAAAAGTATCAGATTACATTGTGAATAAATCTATGTGGGGAGGTTATTAAAGTAAGTAAGTACCAGTTTACCAATGATATACTTTATAAAATAGCATCTCTCAGGCTTCCAGAGGATAGCTGGCTGAGGACTGTTTCAGGATGCAGGAGTTCACATCCTAAAAATCAGGCTCCTTTTGTTCTGCTACCTGTGATAGTACTACAGAAATGAACTAAGGCAGACCAAGGTAAGATTTTCACCTGTGTCCACTCTCCCCTCTCCTTTACCTCTCAGCATTACTTGGTCAAAAGGCAAGTTAGAACAATTCAAATGTCCATCAACAGATGAGTGGATAGACAGAATGTGGTATATCCATACAGTGGAATATTATTCAGCTAAGGAAAGAAAGGAAATTCAGACATCTGCTACAACATGTATGAATCTTAAAAACATTATGCTAAGTGAAATAAGCTGACCACAAGTGGATAACACTTACATGTATTATCTAGAATAGGAAAATTCACAGATATTGAAAATAGATGTTACTAAGTGTCCAGGAGAGGAGAGAATGGGGAGTTATTATTTAATGGGTGAGGAGGAAATAGGGGTTTATTGCTTAATGAATATTGAGATTCCACTGGGATGATTTTTAAAAAGTTGTGGCGATGGATAGTAGTGATGGTTGTACATTGGTATCAATATTTTTGAGCTGTACAGTTAAAATAGCTAATATGGTAAACTTTATGTTATATATATTTCACCACAATTTTTTAAAAGACAAGTCAAGGGTACTATCACTTCTTGAAAAAATGGAGTAGACATAGTTTTTCCTATTTTTTCCAGTAAGCATAGCTAATAACTCTGGACATGATATATAAAACCAACACAAAAAAGACTTTGAAAAATACAGAGAAGGAAGTAACTTACTTCCCTATAGGGATCTGGAAAGTCAAGGAATGACATAGTTGCAATTTCCTGAGTTTTCTTTGACTCATCAATTTCAGTCTGGAGTTGGAGAAGTCAGCCACCTGGAAATACCAACAGTTCCAAAAAAAAAAAAAAATCATTAAGTAAAGAACTTTGCATTCAAGGTGCTGGTTTCAAATCTGATGGGGAAAGAGGAAGGTTGAGATGTAATCGGGTGCCTCAACCTCTGGGCCTAAGGAGTAGCCCCCAGACTGTTGTGGCCACAAATTGGGTAGAAGATTCTCAAAGAAACAAGTAATTCTTCGAAACTCTTCTCTTATTCAAGTGATACAAAGCCTTTATTTTCATCCAAAGGTACTCAAGATGTTTCCTCTTTACTCATTTCTAATCTGCCCAGGAAAATTTTCAAGACTGGTTTGGTGCTATAGATAGTGAGGGACTCCTTTGTTAATAAAACTCAATAAAACGCCTGTAGCAACCTATCAATTGCAGGTCATTGTATTCAAAGTAAATATGGTTATTTGGGAGAGTTTATACCTACAGCTGTCATAATTCCTAGCACTTCATTTTAAACAAAAACTCAAGAATTTCTAAAATTCAAGCCATCATCCGTGATAAAAAAAATAATAATAATTCACTTTTGATCCTGTGAAAACACAGATTAACACAAAGGAGAGCCCCAGTTGCAAGTCTTTTTTATTTCTCTGTAAACAACAGTGCAGAGTGAGGTAAAGGCTGAAGGTCAAATTTTGTGCTTCTCACAGTGAGTGAGGAATATTTGTCTTTGTTACACTGGACGAATAAGTGCTTTTATTTTTTCATCTGCGAAACAGGAATAATGATAATAATAAAGATTCTTCTAAAGGTTAAAAATACAAGGTCATGTAAATTGCTTTCAGTTCCCAGCACAAACTTAGAAATCTTGGAAAGTAGGAACTCTCTTCATCTTTAGAATATTCTAAAAACAAACAAATAAACAAAAAAAGTATCCCTGTGGACACTCAGGGAGCACTGAGCAAAGCACCCTGTCCACTGCTGAACACTCAGGTCCTTTCTGAGCT